CAGCCTGGATACCGCTCATTTCGCCAAAACATATCCCACCATTGTTCGCCTGTAAGACGGGTTATTTGCCTGCCGAAAACATCACAGGACAGACTGAACAAAAGTGTATTCCGTTTGAGTCTATTTGCTTTCCGGATCTGTGGTGTACTCAAATGGTCCTTTAAAGGTAATGAGGCTGTCACTGGTGGTAAACTAAATGATCTCCAAGTAATATCTAAACATGCTTTCACAGACAAATCTAGGAATATTAAAACTTCTTACATATTGGTTAAGAACTTTGGATAAAAGGAAAAGCGGCACCAAAATTTGTTTTTCGATGTTTATTTTTTGGGTTGCAAGTGTTCTTTAAACATCTGTAAAAAAGCAAAGCAGACACATCAACTCCCAATGACAAATTACCTTTTTCTGTACACAGAAAGCGTCTGGAAATCCAAACTCTCGAAGAAGATGCTGTTGTGCCTCAAGAATGCTTCTGACAGTGAGTAGCCCTCGTCCACTCGGTCTGACACTGAGTTCGGTCAAAAAGTTGACATAGCGGTTTGCAAAAAGCTGAGCACGTTCCTTTGAATCCCTCGCAGTTGACTTCTCTGCTTGACTTTCTTCAGCCTTCTTTCTCAACCGCTCTACACCTTGCTAAAGGAGAGGAGCATAGCATAGCCTCGTTATGCAAACAACCCAGACTTCTCATCACACTTGAACAGTTCGTTATGTTACCTTAAAACACTCCAACCAATAGGCCCGAGCTTTGCAATCCTGAGTCAGGTCCCACGTATCCGGAGCGTAGTCAGCTGGGGAAAGGAGCAAGGGGAATGGTTCTAGAGACATATCTCCCAGATGTTCAAATTCGAAATCGGAGAGGGTTAAACCATCGGTGTTAGGGGAGGAAAAGGTTGTGCTGCGGGAGGTGAGAGAAGTTGCATAGCTCTCCGACCAACATTTGGATGAGTGCTGTTGTTGGTTTTGAGGCGCCTGGTGAGTTAGTGACTGTACTGCTGATGCTTCTCCTACCTCCACTCCATTGTTTTGAGAGATTGCGGGAGGCTGTGAGGCCTTCATAAAGGCACCCACAGCACCAAGATAGCCTTCGTGTCGGAGAAACATCGCTTTCAGTGCGCCTTTGGACCAATAGTTCACAGCAAAAGAGATGACCTATGGAGATGGTAATTCATGATGATGAGCTGTCTCTTGAAGGAATGAGGTTTTTAACCACTTGTAAAACGTGCCTCCATAGTTAGTCGATGACCGCGAATGAAAAAACCACCAAAGAGAATTCGACGAACACCACTTTGAAGAGCGTAAAGACATGCCAATTGGCCAATGTTGCTGATAAAAAAGAAAGATGATGAATAGCAAAGTAGCCATTTCCTCAGAAATTTGAAGACAAAGACAGTTAGTGTTCTTACAAATATGAACGGTTTGGTCAAGAATTACGACGGCATTGTATGGAGAATGGATACCGCAATCAACTGTGTTATCAGGTTCAGTGGGAACTTTTAGACATTGAGGGCTCAAAACCAAATTACCACCAAACTAACAAGCAATAAGAGAATAAATGAAGATGAGGATGCATACTGAATCGTAAACGAGACTATTGTGAGGTATTAGGAAAAAGGCTTGCACCAGATAAGCGGTGAAAAGATAGAAAAGCAGTTTTAATGGATGCACAATCCTGAACTTCAGACATGGTAGAATGAAGTCGAGGCGAATGGATGAAGGAATATAGTTGAAACAAACAGACAGGCACAGAAATTAATAAAAACAATCCAGACAAGCGACTATGTTGGATGGAACAATGAGTGATGAATGAGTAGATTGGGGTTATGTCAAAGGATTCAA